GGGAATTCTGGGAGTTGAAGTCCATACAGCTTAAAGTGGCCAAGGTTGAGAAACACTGCTCTAGACTCTACCTGTTGATGCAGGAAAGAGAAATGGAAGTACAGTGCAACATAGTAGATGTGCATTAACTAATAAGGAGAGGTAAATAAAGAGCAAATGGCAAGCTCAACAGGCTGGAATAGGCTTTGTTGAGGAACTGGATTCCGAATGTTGGAAGATCAGCAGTGTGAAATAGTCTCAGGGACTGGAAGGGTCATGGGTCAGCACATGGAAACCATCATATCTGTTTGTTATATACAAGCACAAGCAACTACTAGACTCATAGGCAGCAATGCTCCCAACATTTATCCACTCGTACATATATACATATGTACCTACATGCATACATATCTCTTCTCTCTGGATGTGAGCAACACTGTACAGAGTACAGAAAAGGAGTAAGAAGCAGTAAGCTAAAGAAATTAAAGGTATGAAATAAGAAAGCAAAAGCTGCTAAATCTCGTTAACCAATACACCATTCGCTGTTCTTCTTTATACCTTTCCATTCTTGCCAACCACCTTTGTTCATCTTGTTTTTTAAATTTCTTATCTATCTTTCTGAGGATCCCATCAACTACAACTACAACAATCTCAGTTTTCCCTTTCCTCTTAAGCCATTCATTCTTCCTTGAAATATTTGTTTTGTGATTCAGTCCTCATTGATTCTGCCTTTATCACCGAACCATATCAGTGCATTTCTTTCATTCATTTTTAGATTCAATCCACAGTCATTCAGCACCCATTTGTTCTTGATCCCATCTCTTCTTCTTTGATTGCACACATATCTTAAGTAATCCATATAAACAGCATTCAATCCTCACTTCCATATAACCAAGTGGGCAAAAGCATACTCTTAAGATTTATACCTTCCTTTCCATCTTTTTTTTCTTGATAACTAACATTTATAGCACTGGCTTCCCATCCACTCTTCAACTTCATATTATCAGCCCCATCATCTCCAGATGCTCCTTCCAGCCTTCCATCACTTCAGTTTCATCCAAATAATTTCATAATTTTATTTTTAATTCCATTTATTCTGCTTAGTGTATTGTGCAAGTTCAATCCTTTTGGTTAGTCTGCAAATCAATGTCATGTGCAAATTCAAAAACTCAAAAATTCAAACACACACACATGTGCACAGACACACACGTCCATTGCTAGGTGTATTATTGAAAACTAACTTTCCTTCTGTCTCAATTAGCTATAACACTTTGCCTTTGATAACAATTCTTCCCATTCTTTTCCCCAGCCTGATCAAATCTGAATTCTGTTTTTGAACACTTATTCAATCTCTTTGTGAAGGTAACTGGATATACTGTAGATGAGATGTGAGCTATTGGCTGCCCATGATGGCTTTATGATGTTTAGGAGAGAACGATGTAATAAAAAAGTTGTTTCCCAATTTATTTCCATTATCAATTCATCCTTAAAGGTCAGACACTGAAAGAGCAATTGCTCTGCCAAAATTTCAAATGAAGAACGATGGATTTCAACCCACATTTTGCAAGCCTCACTTCACATCTGGTGCTTCAAAGTTCATCCATCTGAAGAGCAAAATTTGTTTGCTTTGAGTTACATTTTCCTCCCACGTCTGTACTTTATCAGTTCATAAAGCAGACAATGAAGATTGTTCATCCCCAGTGACCATTATCTACAGTGAACAAGGTTCTGATTTCATACCACAGATATCAAGAAAGATTAATCTTTTGAACCCAACAGCTTGACTCAAATGTTTGTGAACCAGACAATATATTGATTAGGCAGAGTTGCATTCTAAATTCCAAAGGAGACAATAGTATCTGGAATGGAGTCTGAAGTCACACTGGGTGTTTTCAGAGAAGCCAAGTACAAACTATTGACATCTTAGAAAACACAGAGCCTTGCTATTTTAGAGCAAAGGCCCTTCTAACACAGAGCTCAACTCACAGGTGAGATGTCAGTACAACAGCCCTCTTACATCCTTGCTCATTGTTCATTTCAATTAAGCTATTTATTCAGAATGATAATAGAATATAACAAAGACTAATAAACATGGATGTCTTGATCCTCTATTTCTATAATCCCCTTGTAAAATGGTTAACTTGGCAATAGATTCCATAGTTTTACTGCATTGGGCAAAGAAAGATTTCCCTTTAACCTGAGTTTCTACTGGGTATCTGTGTGGGAGTAGAGCTGTCAAAAAACTCAAGGTGGTGGCTACAACCACATGATCCAAGCCCCAGAATGTATGTTTTTTACATACATTCTGGGGCTTTGATCATGTGGTTGTAGCCACCATGATGTAGTCCACCAGATGGACTTTGATTGCATGACTTCAGGCACCGTTGTGACTTTTCTGGCCACCACTACAGACATACCTGAATCTCCCTGTATTTAGTTTCAGTGAATGACTGCAAGTTCTAATATTGTAAGACCGTCTCTCTATCCACATTTTCTATACTAAGCAAAATTTATGTATCTTTATGTGATTCCCTGTACCTACCAGTCCTAGACAACTTTCTTTGGGTCAATGGCCACAACCTTCTCATTTAAACATCTAATGTTATTAGAACAGTGCAGACATCACGGCATGGAGCATGGGCCTAATTTCCTTGGGGGCTTTTAAGGTAATTTAAATGTTTTAATAATTAAATTAGTGAAATGGAAATGCCTGGCCTCCTAGAGACCTCTCACATTTTTTAGAGGAAAAAAAATGTGCCCCTGAAAACTAGCCATTTTTGCCACTCATCTTGGGATGCTACAGAGTGCAAACTGGGCATTGATGGGCATGGTGCCCATAGCGATCCTAAGTTTTAAAGCCCCAAACACCCTGTCCGTTCTCACAGGGTAACTGCTGTAATCCTCTAATAATATCCTTATACCTTTGCTATCTTTAAAATTAAACTGGTCAGGCTTGAATTGAGAACACTTTTCCAGTGCAAATTTGTCTTAATCATGGCTTGGATCCTGAACTGTGTTCCATGCAAGGAAGAGTTTACAATCAGATGAAAAAGCATTCTAGCAACCTCAATTCACAGGCCCTTCCTGGCAATGGAAAAGTTCATCCAAGGGTACAAATCTATAAATATGAGTGTTAGTTACAGGTTAGCCTAAGACATCACCAAAGTAGCTAAGCATAAGTCCTGCAAGTCCTGCTAAGCTGACCA